CTAGCATCATTCATGAGCCATGCATTGATGTAAAGCTTGTTTTAGAAAGAGAAAATAATGTTCTTGTATTCTTGAAATAAAACCATATTTTGATCCGAAAGTTTGTACCAAGATCCATATTTTCGTGTTTGTTTTCATGAAACCTCCAAGTATGGGTACCCAGGTCCACGTTTTCGAACTCATCTCATGAAATCTTAGATTTTGTAATAACAAGTTAAGATTTTAGCATTCATGTTCATGTTCTTCATGTTCCTCGAAGGAAAACCCAGATTTTCCCGACTTCATTTCCCTGCATATGGTCATCGGGACCACACCTCGGCCAAGAGGTGTGGGACCTCGGCCAAGACCTGGTTGGTGCCCAGCATGTTTTGCTTTGTCTTGACTTAGTTTTGAAAGAAATGCCGAGATCATTTACACTCATGAAAAGCTTGCTCTGAGAATGCATTTCATACCCATCCTTGAGCATCTCTTCTTGACTTCTTGAAGTGCATTCAGTGGACTTTGCCATGTATTTGTAGGTCTTGGACTCTTGCCTTAATCCCCACACCCAAAGAGCTATATGAGTGGTATTTTTAATAAAACTATGTTATAAAGTTTCGATAAAGCTTTGCTTTGTTTTGGAAAAGTATTTGATCAAGCATGAATGATTATCCCTAGTTTTTGTATCAAGTATTATCTTGTTTTGATGACATTCTTGGAAAGTCCTTAGTGCTAGGGGACTATAATGCAATTAGTGCATTTGTCTTGGAAAGTCCTTAGTGCTAGGGGACTATAATGCAACTAGCGCGTTTGTTTAAGATATCTCCTTTGTCTTGCCGCCGACGGTTTACCGCGTTGGTTTGTCCAGAATGTCATCCCTTGTATTATGTAGATGCTAGTAAGCATCTCTTGAAGATTTGAAAGACTTGATAAATGAACTCAGTTCATCTCTTGATTTGTACAAGCTATGATATGTATTGTTTTGATAAAGATCTCGGATATCATTCATTTTAAACCTTTATTTCTCATATCATTCACTGAGTATCTAAGCTCACCCTCTCCATATATATATGTAGGTGATGAGCAAGAAGGCGGTGACGCCTAGATGATTATTTGCAAGTTGTTTGGATTCGTATTTTGTAGCATCTTGAAGATTATGCTTCTTGGCTTGGTCATTGTAGTTCATTTTGTATATGTCGGCTCGAGAAGCCTTTTGATCAAGATGTCATATGTATTTATTTTATTTGTACTCAAGTTGTAAAACCACGTTATGTATGATATTTCATTTGATCTATGTACAGCTCTTGTGGACTATTTAGATTTAAATTTATTGCTTCCGCACGTGTGAGCCCCATATGTATACTCTGATTGTGTGTGACTTTGTAAGTTGGCCTTTGGTAATCTCGGATTACTGGCCATCATGGCACCGTTCTATTAGGGGCGGAATAGGGTCGTGATAGTGGAATAGATTATATTTATTGGAATTTTTTTTTTTTTGAAATTTAATTGTTTAAATATCCGTTTAGAAATATCTATTTTGGGCTATTGGTGAAGGATAGCCGTGATTGTTGTAGAAATGCATGAGACTTAGGTAAATTGAACCATATTCTTTATTTGTTGCATTGGACATTGCATTACATTCATTTCATTGGAAATGTATCTGTTTTTGAGAAATGTTTGGAAATGTATTTGTTTGCGAAAAGATAAATACTTGGTGAATTTGGGTAGGGGGTGTAGAACCGCGCGGTTAAGTGTCGAGCTTTCCAGTTTACTGGTAAAAATGACAGTGGTAGTGCATTAGGGCCTACTTGCAGACACTCACTTAGAGATTCACAGAGCCTGTATTCATGTAACAGATATGGGTTAAAATGGAAATGGTTTTATATCTGTTGTTGCATTTCAGCATTACATGCTTTAGAAAAGGAGAAATAAATTGTTTTATCGTGAGCATGGCATGAGCATACTCCTCTTTAGTCTTGTCATGGTTCATATGTTGTGTAGTATATCTCTACTGGGCTGTGACTCACCCTATAAGGAAAACCATTTCAAGTACAGGTACTATGACTCCGCCAAGGCATTGACTTGGGAGGACTCGGAGTTGAGGCTTCATTTTTGTTTTATTGTTATTTGTTGAATGTAAGCCCATGGCTGTATTTGCATTGAGTTGAAACTCCATTTTGTGTAACCAAGAATGTTCTTGGATAAATTTGTAAGCTTGTGGGGCACTTATTATCTGGTTGGCTTCCATTTCATACTTGTTGTAAAATGTATGCTTAGGATTGGAACAAGGGCATTGAGAAGTGAATAGCATGTATTTGGCATTTGGGATTTAATGGAAATGGATGTATGGAATAGTTAGCTATACATATGTGTTTGTCCATCAGGTGGGTTATGTAGCATAAATAGATATACCCTGCCTAATTTTCGGGGCGTTACAAATTTATTCTTGGAAATAGAAATTTTTGAAATCGTGAATCAAACCGCAACCAAACCGTTATTTCGGTTTGGTTCTAGTCTAGTTTTACAAGTGCAATGATTTGATCTGATTCTTAAAATTACAGAATCGTTAGAATCGGTTTGGTTTTTGGATTTTCTTAGAACCGAACCAATCCGAACCGTGTACATCCTTAGTGTGGAGTTTCGAGTTATGTGTTTAGTTATGAGTTTTAAAAATAATTTTTGAATTGAGTTTTGAGTTTTTTGTTTGGTTACAATTTAAGTATGGAGTTGAGTTTTGAGTTTAAAATATTAAAATTCAAAAATTAAAAAATTTACAAAATAAAATAAAATATTTAAAATTAGAAAATTAAAAAAAAAATAAATATTATATATGTAAAATAAAAAAATAAAATTGTCGTAAATGTTTTTTTAATATTTTAAATAAATAAATCCAAAAAATTCAAAATACAACTCAAAATTCAAAAACACAAAACTCAAAATACAACTCAAAACTCTTTTCAAAATTTAAAATTCAAAAACTCTTTTCAAAACTCATAACCAAATAAATTTTTTAATTTCAAAACTCAACTCATAATTTCACACTTAAATCACAACTTCACACTCAAATCATAATTCCAAAACTAAACCAAATTCATTCTCCTCTCTCTCTCTCTCCAGACTCTCTTATTCCCTCTCCAAACTCCTCTTCATCGTCGTCTGCTGCCTTTGTGACCCTAGACTCTACCATCCTTCCACCTGTGTCGACGCAACCTCTTCCATCTAAAACTTCATCGCTTTATCGATTCTCCCATTGCCGAGCTCGCACATCGACAATGGCGATCGCCACCACCACAGTCGTCGATTGTTGAAGCCAAACGCGAACACGATCTCTCAGGAGATCTCACCGCCAAACGCCACCACTTTCTCTCTATCTTTCTAGATCTCTTTGTTTCTCTTTCCAACTCTCCAACCTTCTCTCTCTTCTCTTTTCGACTCAATCTACTCATTTTCTCTCTCTACATTGAAGCTATATTGTATGGCAGCTAATCACAGATTTGTAGGGATTTTGGAGTCAGATCTGGTTATTCCGGCATGATCTCTCTACCATCTCTATCGCTGATGGTTTCTCGAGATTGTTCTTTGTCTCCTCCTCCCATATCTCTCTTTTTTTCTTCTATTTGATGAGCTCGGCAAACGCTACTAGCGGAGATTTGGTGAAGTTAAACGGTGGAAGCGAAGATGCAACTGGAGATCTGTTGAAGTCGGTCAAGTTCAAATGTTCAACTTGGAGTGTGATTCGAGTTTAGATCTTGGCAAGAACAATTGAATCAAGATTGCAACTCAACTATGTGGTCAGATCAAAGTCGATCTAGACAGTGGTGGGGGTTGTAGCTGGTTGTTGGCGATGACAGTTATGGAATAAAAATCAACATATCATATTTTTTTTTGCTTATAATTTCCTTAACATTGTCTACTTTCTTTGTATTACAATATAGAAATTCAACTGATCAAATTACATTGAATCTAATATGATTTTTATATATTTAAATTTTTATTTTTTATTTTTGTTGTTGTTGTTGATGATGATGAATTTACAATCCAGATCTGTGTTGAATTTGAAATCTAGACTTGTGTTGAAATCCAAAGTTGAATTTGAACGTATTTGGATTTCAACAGGTAAATATATAGAAAAAAAAATAAACAGATAGCAAAAGAATATGCTTGTAGAATTCAACATATATACTTGTGGAATTCAACAGATATACTTGTGGCATTCAACAAATAGGAATGTTCACAGAGATAGTTTAAAAAAAGGGTAAATTATAAATACACCTCTGAGATTTGATTAAAATACAAATCGTCCCATGTGGTTTTGAAAATTATATTTCACCTTCTGAGATTTTTAATTTCATAATAAATCGCTCATTTTATTAATAAATCCTCTAGTCAATTAACAGTTTTTAATGATATTGAAAATATGTTTCAATTAATAATTTAGGTAATTTTATTATTGTATAGGAGATCAATTATGAATTTCATTTTTTTAGTTAATTTTGTTAAATAAAAAATTCTAATAAGGGGGTATTTGTAATTTTCAAACCATAGGGAGCAATCTGTATTTTAAACAAATCTCAGAAAGTGTATTTATAATTTATCCTTAAAAAAATTACTTAAATAAGATTGTTATTTCAACATATATGTAAAAATTTGAACAGATAAGGGAAAAAAATTGAACAGATAGTCAAAAAATTTGAACAAATAGAAAAAATTTAAATAGATAGATATAAATTTAAATAGATAAAAAAAAATTAAATCGATAGTAAAAAAAGTCAACAGATAAAATTAAGAGGTAAAATTAGAAACAAAACGTCTTCTAAAATAAAAAAAAAAAGACTTCTTACCAAAATTATTTCACAAATAATGAATCTTTCACTCAAAAAAAATATCTATTAGATCTAATACCTTTTATTGTACCCCCTTAGATTAGATTTATCACAAATTTTCTCTAATAAAAAATTGTAATTTTTAATTTTGTAAAGTATTTTTCTAAAATTTATTTATTTATTAGCCCATCCGGTTTCCCTCCTGTAATTCCCGCCAATAATTTCTTCATTCTAAACCTAAAATCAAACTGAAACAGTACACAAAGAGATCGTCATCGGATCGAATATCTCCGAAGGCAAAGAAATGGACCACGGCGGCGGTGGCGGCGGTGCGGCGCCGACTGGGTGTTACAAGTGCGGCCGCCCTGGCCACTGGTCCCGAGATTGCCCTTCAAATCCCAACCAAAACCCTAACCCTAATCCAAATTCATCTCCCAATTACTCTAAACACAATTCGTCTACCTTCAATGGTGGTGGTTTTGGGGGTTCGAAGCCATTACAGAAGTCATCTGAGAAGCCCAAGAAGGTTCCCAGAGCGAGACCTAAGCTCACTCCTGAGCTTCTTCTCTCCAACGATGGAATTGGTTACGTTCTTCGCCACTTTCCTCGCTCTTTCAAGTATCGTGGCCGTGGACATGAGGTATTCATTCACATCACGGTCTTTTTGATTTGGTTTAGTTTCTGAATTGTTTTCTCTTGTTTGTTGATTTGTAATAACAATTTCTTACTCTCTTGTTTTCATCAAATTTGTGTGAATTTTGTTAAAAGCTTGATCTGATATGGAACTCTCCTTTTGATTTGGTTTCGTTCCTGAATTTTCTTGTCTTATTTGTTGATTTTAAAAGCTTCATTTGATATAGAACACTTCAATTCTTACATCTCTTTTATTTTATTTTATTTATTTTTTAAATCAAATCTTTTTGAAATATTTTAAATTTGTCCTAAAAACTTGTTTTAACCATTTTTGACAAAAGAAAACCATCTTCAATCGTTATTCTTTTTAAAATTTCATCAAATTTGAATGGAAATATGAACTTGAGAAATTTGGCTAAATATTTGGTTCATCATTGATTTAGGCTCTTTTTGTCTCGAAGTAAAATATTTTACACAAAAAAAATATTTTTATTGTAAATTGATTTTACATAAAAAAAAATATTTTTGTTTTTGTTTTTATTTTTCGGCTTTTGGTTGACCCTTGAAACAAAAATATTTTATTGCCTCAGAGAAATTTTGATTCAATAAAGTGTTATTTATGACTTTTTAGTGAGGTAAGATATTTATTTGAAAAGGTTTTGAGTGAGAATCAACTTTGTAAAAATTGACTTACGGAAACATATTTTCTTAAAAAATGTTTTACTTGCGTTTTGTTCAACCAAACAACGGAAAATGAGTGAAATATTTTTGATAAAAACAGTTTACGCAAAACAAATGGAGCCTTAGTGAAAAAAATGTTGATGAAATGGTTGGAGAACACTTTTAATCTTTTTCATCAAATTTGAATTTGTTGAAAAATTGATGAAGGATTGGAGATGCTTTAACCTTGTAGATTTTCTCTCTCACAGTACCATTCCTTTCTTTCACAATATCATTATGGGAAAATTACACTTTCCTATAATTCGTCTCTTATTTAATTTGGTTCTTATGGTTTTGCTTGTGTAAATTTTACTTTTGAATTTTCTTACTGTTAATTTAATCCAATTGATAAATGTTTTTTGAAATTCTACTAAATTGATAAATGTTTTGTGAAATCATCAATTACTTTTTGAATGAACAATTTTGCCTTTGATTTTTGTTTGATGTTATCAGTTAGACTAAGTTAGCACAACAAGAGTCAAATTACATGGGCTACATGTATAATTTGCCCTATATATCACAAAAGGTATAAGGGATGTTGTGGATTGGAGATGTAATTGTTAGGATTCTGGAATCAATCCGTTGTGAAGGGATATTTGTGAAATTTGAAGAATAGAAATAGAATTAATTTTTATAGGGTAACTTATAAGAGACTCCACAACGAAATGAGTATGATCTTTGAATAAAACCGTACTGGAAGCAACATACTACTCAATCTTTGAGAATTGTTATGGCAAAAAAGGCTTCAAACAGCTTCAAACAGATTAATAAAAAAGAGAAACACAATACTCACAGTTAAAGTATTTTCAAGATTCCGATGAATTTGCAAATCATTTACAGAAGTTTCTTCTCGGGGAGTTGTTTTATCACTATTATTTCTAGGGTCTTTTTTTTTTTTACTGTAGTCATCTACTTGCTTGGTATACTCCGTGAGTACAAGTTTGTAGACCAGATTTTCTCATCAAGTTGTGTGACTCTTTAAAATAGTTTTAATTAAAATGCATTGATTATATAAGCTAGCAAAATTGTGCCATGTTTCTCATCTGGATTGTTTTTTTTTTTTTTTTGGGGGGGCGGGGGGAGAAAATCTAATTATGTACATGACAGGTAGTGCTGTTTCATTCTCCTAGTTTCTGCATTCACACTAAATCGATACTGGTCAATCAAAAGGATTCATTGATATATTTGTTAGTGTTAGTGGTTTCCTTTTGAATTAATGTTATTTTCTATAAGCTTGTTTGGGTTCTATTTTTTTTGTTTTTGTTCTGCGGTTGCAGCTGCCCAAGTTCATTTAATTTTTCTTGTATCTTTTGTAACATATTGGTCAATTTATGCAGGTTGGTGATTTGTGTAACCTAATGGGTCTTTATGCCGAATGGCATTCGCATTTGCTTCCTTACTATTCATTTGATCAGTTTATACACAAGGTGGAACAAGTTGGTGCCACAAGACGTGTCAAGGTAAAACATTCTTTCTTAAGTAATTGAACCCATGCAATTATGTTTATCACCTGGGATATATATCAAAAGTGAATATTACATGACAAACAAAACAAGAAGGGAGAACTATTTTGAAAATCTTAAAGAAGTAATAATTTTATAATATCAATGTGTTTGGTGACATAGTATTCATCAAGTGGTGAAGTGCTTATCTTGAATGTCCCAACTAGCTTTGCTGGTAAAATCTCTTGGTAGTTAGAAGTTCTACCAGAGACTTGGAATTGGCTGTTGCTATCAACTAAGTCAGGAACAGCTGTGTCGAGGGCAACAGTTACTCCCTTTGTGTTGCCCATCGTGATGACCCCCTGCGGGGAAAAAAAAAAAAAAAAAAAAAAAAAACACTACTCCAACCTCAGGCATTTCTTTTCAAATTTATTCATATTATTAGTTTCAGAACAGTGATGATTAGTTTCATGAAAAGTAAAGATAAGTTCCAGAAACAGTAACAACAACTACTACTTTAATACTTCTGTAAAAAATTTTGAGGGCTGTGGGTTTATGGGCAAGGGGAGGACTATTGCAATGGACCTCAGAAAAAAAGAACTGTGTTTAAACTCAGGCATTTCTTCACAAATTAAATCAATTTATAGATTTAGTTTCAGAAACAGCAATGATAAGCTATGACAATTATCATTAATTAACTATTGAACATCATCAGTGTGAGATTATAATGCTCTTCCCTTGAATTCAAGTTTAAATGGAAGAGGAAAAGCACTGTGCTTTAATCTAAATATTATTCCTTCCATTACCTATAACCTTAATAATTTGGTATTTAAACAGAATTTATTTCTCAATTATTTCTAGGAATATCTCCTGTATTCATAGTTTAACACTAGTAGATTTAAGGTCATATAGATTTTTGGTTGAAAGCTTCATATTTTTTAGAATTACCTGGCACCGATTCTCTCTTTACATTATTTACTTCTTCAAGCAGACATGCCTTGGAGGATTACGGGATAGAGTTGCCAATGGAGGGGACCCAACAATGCTACATGAACACTCAGTTGAACAAAACATCTCAAATAATGACCAAGGTACCTTATATGCTGGTCATATTGCAATATTTTTTCATTAAACAGCTATGTAAATGTCATATTTGCATGCATTTTGATATTGTTATTGCTTTAAGTAGAGAAGCAGCGATGAATGTACTATGTAGGAAATTATAATGGAAAATGATACCATATTGTATTTAATGGTTTTCTGTCTGAATGCCTATTGATGTCTATATAAAACTTACATCTGTTTCCCATCCATTGTTAATCATCAAAATTTGACATGTACCATTTTTTTCATCTTGTAACTTGTTGGTTGCTAGGGGTTTGATACAATATAATATAGCTTATTTGTTAATGACTGTCACTTTATCCTCTTAGTGTAGACTGTAGAATGTATTAAGAGTACCTATGTAGTATTGACAATATTTTAGAACTTGCAACAAAACTAGCTTGGAAACTTGTAGAATTTCAAGTAAATTTTTTTGGGGGTGGTGGGGTTGGTGTGTATGAGCAGGTTTGTCATTGCAATGTAAGCCCTAGTTGCAGGAACCTCCCATTGGAGGAGACAAATTTGTAATAGAACTGCAATCCCTCAACTCAAAGCCAGAATCTAGTTAAAAGCATGCTCCCATCGAGAAAGAAACACGTTGCCAACTGGGATGGAATATCTTGAACATATGAAATCCCGAATGAACAAAAGAAAAGATAGCAAGATGGAATATCTTGAACATATGAAATCCCGAATGAACAAAAGAAAAGATAGCAAGCAGAGAAAATCTGTAGCAGCCATCTGCTTATAGGAAACAATTAATTTAAATTTATTCTAGCACTTCACATTTGCATAATATTTATTAATATTTACAGCAACAAAAAAAAAAAAAAAAGGCAGTTGACACCAATCTCCAATATTTATTAATATTTTAACATATATATTAAAACCTTAAACTCTTCTATGTACCCTTCCCCCCTCTCCTGCGCATCTGACATATTTAATGCACGAGGTAAACTTTGTAGGTTTTTGTCTTTACTTAAAATCTTTCCACACAACAATGAGATGGAATATATGTACATCAATTATTGTTTTCAATCTGTAAAAAAATTACTGTGATGTTCTTGATCTGGCTTAGCTAACAGGAACATCATTGTACACATGTTGCTTGCTTCAACATTCTTAGGGATGTTTGTGGGGTTCTAATAGAGGTGTTTCTGCTGCTGTAGAAGCTATGAACATAGAGGAGCCATCTCTTGTCCAGGAAGACACATCTTTGAAAAACCATGACACTGATGATTTACAGGAAGACATGCTTCAAGAGATTTATAAGCAGACAACTGAAGTAAGTGTATTTCCATCATATTTTGGTTCATAAATTTAAGCAGCAAAATATATTAGTATCAACTTGTTGTGTTGGGTGTCTCTTATTTTGAAGTAAACTATCACATTATTTTTGGAAGGGAAATCACTTGTCTTGTTGGCATGATACAAGCACTTTCATAGGGTACTCATTTAGACTTAATTATAAATATGATTGCATACACTCTTGCTAGCTTTTTACTCTTGTTGAAAGTAAATGACCATACACAAAGGAAATAAAAATATATCTGCAAGGTGGAGAAATTTAATCAGATACTTTATTGCTCTGGAATTGCTTGATTTAATCAGATAATCTATTTCTTTTCTTGGTCTAACCATTTGGTTCAGTGAATTTTTGAAAATTGGCTGACCCTGCTGTATTTGCTGTTGAAGATGTACATGTGTTTGAAACTTGGATTGCAAATGCATAATATTTTATTCTTCTGTTTGCAGAAACCAACAAATAGTGGTAGCAAATGTTGCAAGGTTGATAAATTTATTGGTAGCTACGTTGTGCAGAAACTATATAAAGGATTTATGGGGCCTAGTTACTAGAACTTTTACAACAGGGCTCACATTGTTGATGCAGCTACACTTTAATTTGAAAGAACAGCCAAAAAAGATACGAAAAAATGAAAAAAAAAGAAGGTTCATGAGGTGCTTTCTTTAATTGCTGGCACTGGAAAGCATACTTGATGGTGTATCCTCTGGAATACGTTATTAGGTGTGTTTCTATCATAGTATGGGGCCATTGCTTGGTATAGTTATAAAAACCCTGCTTGAAGAGAATGGGAATGTAATTTCGAGTCTGAAGGCAGTGACTTCACACAAATAGAAAGTGAAATGAATGTTTTACCACCCATTCTAGACCTCCTGGAGCCTTGTATTGATGGGAGCAACACTGGGAAGTGGTTTTTTCTAGGAAGCACAGGCACTTAAAAATGGATGCCTTTGTGTTTGACACATATCGAACACAGACATGCATGTCCACATGTTGGACATGCCATGTAGCGTGTCAATTTTTTAATTTTTTGTGGACACATGGGTTGGGGACACTTTACGGACACGTGTCCTTTGTTTGGACATGCCTCATGGCACTTCTGTGTTTTTTTTTTTTTTTAAATAATAATTTTAGAAAGTTGGTTTGGGAAGTAACACATATAGAAGCAAGGGGGGTGGGGGATGAAAAAAATATAAATATGCCTACATATACATTGATGTCTCTAATTACTTTGTACATTATATTCTCCCTGTGTCCGTATCTTTATTTTTTTGAATTCATTGTGTCTCAAGTTCGTAGCCATATCTGTGCTTTTTAGGGCCCTTTTTTTGTTTGATGAATGGAGCTTTTGTGGTGATCTGTTTCATATTGACATGTCCAATTTCTTTACTTTTGTACTGTTGTCAGTCACCTTTAACAAACTATATGTGGGAAAAATGAACAATCTGATGAGAGAAAGTGATTAATATGTATATATACAGCTACAGTTGTTTAAGTTATTTCTTATTTTTCTACTGATCAATTTTATGCTCCGTTTTGGGGCGGAAAATATTTTCTAGAATAGGTTTTCTGCAGTTTTTGACTGTTTGTTATGACAAAAAACGTAAGTCCAACGGAAAATGTTCATGGTCAATGGAAAGCAACTTTATTTAGCATAAAATATTTTCCACTTTGAAAAGTGAAAAGTAGAAAATGTTTTCCAGACTACAGTTTTCCCAATGCCACCAAACTACCACCACCTCCACTAAATCAGACCACTGCCACATATGAGATGTCAGTTTCTCCATATGGGTTGTTGATGATATAGTTCCTGTGCAGGGGCCATCTCCAGCATTACATGGTGACTCTGCTGCTACTGATACAACTTCTCATCATACCCCTGTGAAAGACTTACCAAATCAAGTTAATCAAGCCCCGGATAACATGTCTAGCATATCTAGAGACCTACAGGTCTCGGAAGAACAAAAAGCTCGTATGGAAGCTAACAGGTTGAAGGCATTGGAAAGAGCTGCTGCACGTGCCCGCTCTTCACAAACAGCTTGATTGTTCTCTCATTCGGGTATTTAAACCCTATTATGTGCTATAATTTGCTGTTCATTATTATCATTACCATAATTCTCAGCAGAATTGAAACATTTCAAAACAAATATTTTTGGTGTCTCTCCATGTGAGTTGTTTTGCTGAGAAGATACTATATTTTCAGTTCGTGTTTATAAATTATAGTTCAGAAGGCATATTTCAATAGTGCATGAATGAGATAATTAATGTGTTTTCAAGTGTTTTTGAGTACAATGACAATGTCCCGATTGAATAGTAAGATTACATCATCAAAGATTAATTTGAAAAATTACAAATACTCTCAAAGATGACAAAGGAATTTATAGTTCTAAATCCTTGGCATTATTATTTGTCTAAAATATCAACCGGACACTCTAATAAGCCCATTGTTATAGAATCAACCACAAAATGGTCATATATCAAATGGTGAGGTCTGTTATTAAAATATCAACCGTACACTCTAATAAGCCCATTGATATAGAATCAACCACAAAATGGTCATATATCAAATGGTGAGGTCTGTTATTAAAATATCAACCGTACACTCTAATAAGCCCATTGATATAGAATCAACCACAAAATGGTCATATATCAAATGGTGAGGTCTGTTATTAAATAGATTGTCTACTTTTTTTTTGTTATTGATTCTGTGTTCCTAAACTTAATCCATGCCCCCCCAAGACAAAGTGATTGCCTTCGAGTCTCAGCAGCTGAGAAAAGGGCAGAAACAAAATCATCCATTGCTTGAAGAGAAGACCCCTTCTGCCCTCCTCCTTTCTTACTGCTGCTTTTATTAGCTCTCCAATCTCAACTGCCTTTTTCTTCATTTCCTCGCCTTTTGATGGCACGCCTTTTGATGGCACGCCTTTTGATGGCACGCCTTTTGAAAAATTGAGCGCACCTTTTGAGGATGCGATTTTTTTATGGGTCCGACAAGACTCTGTAAACTGTCTCGACATTGATTCCGGTTAGCTCCTTTATGGGTCTGACAAGACTCTGTAAACTGTCCCGACATTGATTCCGGTTAGCTCCTTTATGGGTCTGACAAGACTCTGTAAACTGTCCCGACCTTGATTCCGGTTAGCTCCTTTATGGGTCTGACAAGACTCTGTAAACTGTCCCGACCTTGATTCCGGTTAGCTCCTTTATGGGTCTGACAAGACTCTGTAAACTGTCCCGACCTTGATTCCGGTTAGCTCCTTTATGGGTCTGACAAGACTCTGTAAACTGTCCCGACCTTGATTCCGGTTAGCTCCTTTATGGGTCTGACAAGACTCTGTAAACTGTCCCGACCTTGATTCCGGTTAGCTCCTTTATGGGTCTGACAAGACTCTGTAAACTGTCCCGACCTTGATTCCGGTTAGCTCCTTTATGGGTCTGACAAGACTCTGTAAACTGTCCCGACCTTGATTCCGGTTAGCTCCTTTATGGGTCTGACAAGACTCTGTAAACTGTCCCGACCTTGATTCCGGTTAGCTCCTTTATGGGTCTGACAAGACTCTGTAAACTGTCCCGACCTTGATTCCGGTTAGCTCCTTTATGGGTCTGACAAGACTCTGTAAACTGTCCCGACCTTGATTCCGGTTAGCTCCTTTATGGGTCTGACAAGACTCTGTAAACTGTCCCGACCTTGATTCCGGTTAGCTCCTTTATGGGTCTGACAAGACTCTGTAAACTGTCCCGACCTTGATTCCGGTTAGCTCCTTTATGGGTCTGACAAGACTCTGTAAACTGTCCCGACCTTGATTCCGGTTAGCTCCTTTATGGGTCTGACAAGACTCTGTAAACTGTCCCGACCTTGATTCCGGTTAGCTCCTTTATGGGTCTGACAAGACTCTGTAAACTGTCCCGACCTTGATTCCGGTTAGCTCCTTTATGGGTCTGACAAGACTCTGTAAACTGTCCCGACCTTGATTCCGGTTAGCTCCTTTATGGGTCTGACAAGACTCTGTAAACTGTCCCGACCTTGATTCCGGTTAGCTCCTTTATGGGTCTGACAAGACTCTGTAAACTGTCCCGACCTTGATTCCGGTTAGCTCCTTTATGGGTCTGACAAGACTCTGTAAACTGTCCCGACCTTGATTCCGGTTAGCTCCTTTATGGGTCTGACAAGACTCTGTAAACTGTCCCGACCTTGATTCCGGTTAGCTCCTTTATGGGTCTGACAAGACTCTGTAAACTGTCCCGACCTTGATTCCGGTTAGCTCCTTTATGGGTCTGACAAGACTCTGTAAACTGTCCCGACCTTGATTCCGGTTAGCTCCTTTATGGGGGTCCGACAAGACTGTAAACTGTCCCGACATTGATTCCGGTTAGTTTCTACAAGGGTCCAGCAAGACTCCGTAAATTGTCACAACATTGTCTTCTACAACGGTCCGACATGACCCCATAAACTGTCTTCTACAACGGTCCGACATGACCCCATAAACTGTCTTCTACAATGGTCTGACACGACCATACAGTGTCTCTTATCCTCTTTTTTTTTTATGTATTTTCTTGTTTTGTTCCTCTCTTCAAACTCAAGTTGGTTAGTTTCTATCCTCCTTGAGTTTGCGGGGGGCTGTTAGAATTTACCATCACCTACCACCACTACCACCTCACCTACTCCACTAAACCTAACCCACTACACCACTATCACCTCACCTACTCCACTAAACCTAACCCACTACACCACTATCACCATCCACTACACACCATCCACTACACCTACATCTATATAAGGAACCATTTTGTAATAGACAGTATATATAAATCAAGAGAAATCAATCAATAATACATAAATTCTTACACTTTTATTAGCTCTCCAATCTCAACTGCCTTTTTCTTCATTTCCTGCCCTTTCTTCCCATTCTTGTCCACCAAATCAATGACCCTCTTCACTTCCTCTCTCACAATACTATTCTCTACTCCTGTCTTAGTTAGCTCAATGCAAACACCCATCTCCTCCACAAGCATCTTTGAATTAATTGCCTGCTCAGCTGCTAATGGCCTCCCTATGATCGGCACACCCTGGCTTAAGCTCTCTATAACTGAATTCCATCTGCCGTGGCTGAGAAATGCCCCTGTCAATTTGTGATAAAATCTCCAGTTGAGGTGCCCAACTTTGCACCAACATACCTTTTTTCCTCTCCACCATTCTTTCTTCAAAACCATTTGGTAACCATTCTGCTCTGAATTCACCTTTCAGGTTGAAACTAATAGGAGGCCTTATGACCCCAAATGAAAGGTTTGCCACTATCTTCCAAGCCTTCGGCTAATACCGTCGTACATGAAGCACTGATTGTATTCTGTGAGCCAAATGAAATGTCGAGGGCAGAGTCTTGTGGATGCAAGTCCTGCCATTCTAGGCATTTCTGTGGAGATGTTCCACTCTGTGTCGACTTAATATTAATGTCTTTAGATTGGAAGAAGATGAAGAAGAATGGTTTAGCTTAAGCATGGTTGGAAGGAGAAGAGGCCCAATAGTCCAAACAGGAAGTTTGGTATATTTTCTAAGAATCTCTAAACCAAAAGGTTCAATTTCTTCACTTAGAAAATATGAGGAAGAAGAACTCCGAAAAATATGAGGAAGAAGGAATATATTTTTGTTATATTCAAAACTTCTTATCTTACAAGACCAAATGACACTCCTTATATAGGAGATATTACAAACATCATTATAACCCATTATATGCCACTTACATATTATATATTACCACTATCTACCACTATCATATTATATACATGCCACTATCTACCACCAACACCACTATCACATATTCTATACATGCCACTATCTACTACCAACACCACTATCATATTATATACATGCCACTATCTTATTATTAACACAAATTTTCAGTACTCCCCCTCAAGCTGGTTTGAAGATATCTTCCATAGCCAGCTTGTTAGTCAGCTTATCAAATTGCTTCTTGTGTAGTCCCTTCGTTAGCACATCAGCTAATTGTTCACCTGTTGGAAGGTAGGTTATACAGATTATGCCAGCATTGATGTTCTCCTTGATGAAATGTTTATCTACTTCTATATGTTTTGTGCGATCATGTAGAATTGGATTATGAGCTATAGATATAGCTGTTTTGTTGTCACAATAGACCTTCATAGGTGTCGGGTGAGAAAGCTTTAATTCTTCAAGAATTCTTTTAATCCACATTACTTCACAGATTCCATGGGCAACAGCTCTGAACTCTGCTTCTGCACTACTTCTAGTTAAAATGATGTCATCAACATAAACAATCAAAATTGCAATTTTACTGTTTTTTGAATGTTTATAAAATATTGTGTGATCTGCTTGACTCTGCGAGAAGCCACAACTGATAACTGCCTTCCCAAAGCGTTCAAACCACGCTCTTGGTGATTGTTTGAGTCCGTATAATGACTTGTTCAATCTGCATACTCTGTCGCTTCCAAGTCTCTGCTCAAATCCCGGCGGTAGGCTCATGAACACCTCCTCTTCAAGATCACCATTGAGAAATGCATTTTTAATGTCAAGTTGATGTAGAGGCCAATCTGAATTTACTGCAAGAGATAACAGTACTCTGATGGAATTTATTTTAGCAACAGGAACAAACGTCTCCTGATAGTCGATCCCATTAGTTTGAGTGAAGCCTTTAGCCACCAGTCTCGCCTTGTATCTCTCAACGCTTCCATCTGCGTTACATTTTATCGTAAACACCCATTTACACCCAACTGTTTTCTTGTCTTTGGGTAGATCAACTATCTCCCAAGTACCACTTCTCCTTAAAGCATTCATCTCCTCCATGACTGCTAATTTCCAATTCGGATCATCCAATGCTTCCTGTATATTCCTTGGAACAAACAAGTGTGAAATCCTAGATGTGAAAGCTCTATGGTTTTTAGACAGTCTTTGATAGGAGAGGTAATTTGCAATAGGATGTTTAATGCAATTTCGGACACCTTTCCTAATTGCTATAGGAACATCAAGGTCGGAAATAGAAAGAATAGGATTACTTAAAATTTCGATGTCAGAACTCGGGTGGACATTCGGGTCATTAGGATGGACATTCAGGTCATTATTCCTCAGATGAAATTGCTTCCTAGTATAAACCTGAAGCTTAGGATTTAGATCATTTTGTAGTACTTCTCCCCCTAAACAAGAATCTTCTTGACTAGGCACCATAGAACTTGGTTCTCCTAAGTGATCATTATCAGACAGATGATACCAACTT